TGTCTACCCTCTCTGCATTCATGGATCGTCCTCTGAAGACACAGGCATTGTCCCTCACACACCCTGGAGTTCTGGTTTAGGGGACTCTGAATCTGAGGTCTGACTCGACTCATCTCTTGCTCCTGACTATCCTCTGGCTTGTAACTCCTCGTTTGACCATAATCATGTGTGGTATTGCCTTGCTCGTTCTCTGGGAAAACATCAGAATCAATGGGGTAAAGTAGGTTTCCTCTTCCAAACAGCAGGAAAAAAGGAGACAACTCTGCTTGATTCGCTGAACAGTTAGGAGTTGTAGCATGAAACCCTTTTGTTCAGATAGTCCTTGCAGTTAGGTTTTTGTGGTTCTCCCCAGTGTCCGGAGCATACTTAAGTGTTCTATTAAAGCGCTTCTCATGGGTATAGAACAGGGGATGATAAGGTGTCGTCTTGGAATGCTGTATTCCCACTGGACTTTGTAGCTTCTTGAATAATCCATTCTCGAATTCTCTCTTCCTTGGTCGGTGGTGAATTTTGGCAGGGGAAGCCGAATCTCAGAATGAGTCATCAAGATCTTGCGTGCAGGCTGTTTTACCAGACTTGTTTTGGTGTAGCATAAGATTGTGCAACTTTGTAAAGTGGGTCATACATTACCGAATGTCATTCCACTCCACCCTTGCTTCTCTCCAAAATGCAATAGTTCCAATGGATATCATTCAAAAGGTGCTATGTTTTTATGCTTTGCAGAGGTGGTCCTTGTTTTATTGTTTGGCTTCTTTTGTTTCAAACACGGCACACCTTTGTGACATAATGTTCAATTTCCTCTCTCAATTTTTGGCCAAAAGAAATCTCTCTCTGGGCTAATGAAAATCATCTATTCAGGTCCCTAAATGGGCCATTTACTTTCATATAGGGTTGCGGATAACATCAGTTGAGCTTGAAATTTCCAGGGGACCACAAGCTGGTGATCGTGAGCGTTGTTCTTTCGCCGCAGGATTCCATCCTTATCCAACTGAATGGACGTGGGCCACTCCCTCAGGAAGGCCATTTCACGGGCTGCTGACTCTTTGATATTGTCTTTGTATCTCAGGCGTTCGTTTTGTTGTTTTCAGAGTGATGACTCTGCTTATTTACTTCATCTTCTCTTTGGACACTGCTTGAATATTTCACTGGTATTGGGTTGGATTGTAGTGTCACATGCATGTTGTTTATGTTTCAGATAAACACATCCACATATATCATGTAATGGGCTGAAATCCAGTCAGCGTTACCTTGTGCTCCTGAGCTTGCAGTCCTTTCTCCAACTGCTTGCATTTCATCTGGTTTACACTCCCTGGGTGCATTTTTTTCATCAGTTTGTCCATTTCTGGCTGGTTGGCCGTTGGATAAGAAAGTCTGCGTCCACGGTTTAACAGATTTCCTGGGCCTGATTTCAGGTTAAAGCGTAAATCTGCTACTCTTGAACCCAACAGTGTCCCACAGGCATTAGTTTGGCAGGTCTTCATCACATATTGTCAGGGGGGGTTATTGTCGCTGTACACTGTGAAGGTGAGGGGCATGGGAAGGACGGATAGTCTTGGAATCGCTTCAGTTACAGGCCCACTTTGAGAGCTAAAAAAGTTCCAGCTTTCCTGAGGGAAGGCCTGTAGTTCTTCTCTGCTGGAGTGAGTGTCCCGATCTGTATCCTACACTCTCAGTGCTCCACATTGAACGCTGATACAAGACAGCCCCAGACCTTGCTCAGATGCATCAACATGTATTGCACAAATTGGCTTTCAAGATCAGGATATGCCATTACCTGGGGGGTAGGACAGAGTGTCACCAGTCTTCTCTAAAGACCTCAGTATGCTCGCCGTTTGCGACCTGTCGCGTGACACTGTGACGTCAAAATGACGTAGATTCGCTGGCGCGCCAGGTTGCGGCACCACCTTTTTTTTTCAGCTGAGCGCGCCAAACCGGAAACAGGAAGCTTTCCGAGCAAGTGCGCCTCTTACAGGCATCTGTTACGGATCCTTCAATGAAGGAACAACAGAGGTGCCAAGAATTCATTGCGAGAAATCGCCAAATGAATTGGGTTGGAAAAGAGGGAGGCCATATGCCGGAAAATTTTGGGAAGAACCTCCGCGGACTGATTTGGAAAATCCAAAAAAGAGGTCGCCATTGTTTACCTTTTTCTTCTCTTTATGCGTAGAACATAGCAAAGTCGGTAGCTGTACTCAGTTGCGAACCTCTGTTACAGGGAGAAGCTTGCAACTATTGTTGCGAGACCACCAGCGCAAGTATAAATTAGGTTATGGCTCTCCCGTGGACGTCACGTATGTCGCCGCGACCAGGTCGGCCAACAGCGAGTTCTACATGACGACTTTTATACTTGCTGGTGCAGTGACTGTCACTTCACTGGCTGAGATGGGGGGGCAGTCTGGGGGGGGGGAACGACGGCCTTGTCCTTTTTCTGCCTGTTTTTTTCAGTCGTTGGGTGGGACAACAACTAATAAAGAGGCTAGCATCCTTGAAAAGTCGCCAATAAAGTGCTCTGGTAGTAGCCTAGGAAGCTAACCAGGGATCCTCCCTTCTCTGGGGGGACTGTTTTGGGTTTTGCTTTCTTTCATAACTGGAACAGCCTCTACCTCTTTCGGGTTCATCCGATATCTTCCTGAATTCTTTGGGATGGGGGTCGATCAGGGTGTGTCTTTTCATTTAGCTGTCGATAGTTACACAGATCGAAGCGGGAAAGATTACATGGGCTAATAATAACAAAGATTACTGGCGTTGGCGTAGTATGTTTACCATCGTCACTTTCCGGTTTTCTCGTGCACTCACTGATTCGCTAGTTCAAGGGGCTAGCACTCCCCAATCAAGATTGTTCATTTGAGGCCGACGGCCACTGGCCGATACATGTCGATCGGCCAAAATTGAACGCCGACACCCCAACTGATACGCCACACACCGACCCACCCCACCCCCGTCCGACGGCTGATTATCGGGTTGGGTGCAGAGACCAAAGAGACAGTTTCCTTTTCTAAAGGGTAAGTACAAACATTCCAAATCTTCCAAACATGCAGGCATTTCAGGTAAGTGTTTTAACTTGAAATAATAATCATGAAATCAACGTGTAACACAATTAAAACAAATTAATCATGGACAATCCAAAATTAACAAATATGACTGTCCAGTTGTGCCACATATACAGTACCATGTTTGCAGAATATGCAGTGCGTGTGCATGTGTGACAGTGTTGATCTGGGACTATTTATACCCATTCCCTGTCACACACTGACAAAGCTGAGGCATGCATCAGCCTCTTAACAAATGATAATACTGTGGACAGAGGAGATAGAGAATGACACACACACACATAGAGACGTACTGTAGCTGAAGGTGTGTATGTGTGGTTATATGTGTGTGTGTAAGTGATAATACAACAATTTGGCTGCAGATAGAGTGGCAACTGGTGATGACAAGGGAGAGAGAGAGAGAGAGAAGAATAGAAACATTTTACAGGCTTATTCACTCCTATCAAAATGTTCATATTAAATTAATCTTCACACAATGTCCAATTGGGAACTAAATCTAAATGCATAATTACCTGAAACTGATTTTTAAGGGCTCTGTGGCCACACTGTATATGTGTGTTGTCGCTGGTTTCTGTCTACATAAAGCACCAGTTGTCTGTAACATTGTTTAAGTGAGGTTAAAGAAAGGTCACTTTGTCCTGTGTCAATGGCACGTCACTGACAGAATTAGAGGAAATATAGAGAGCAGATGTTCAGTGTTTTTTTCTTTCTGTGGTAAAAATTACAATATTATTTTCCTGACAAACACATAATCTCTTCCCCACTAGTGAGCATTTTCATGACATTATTAGGCACAGTACAACAATGTTAATGTTTAAATATATATGAAATTACCCAGGGTACTGTATTCTCTGCCACTTGAGGATCTACTAACAGTAGACTGAAGGCTCACTGATTTCCTGACATTTATTTAAAAAAGTAATATAAGATATATACACTAATAAAAAAAGAAATTGAAGATATTAAACATGTAAAAGTTCAACATTCAACAATAAGGATGAAACTAGTTTAAAGTGCAAATAAGCAATTATATTAGCTTTATGAAGAAATATAATATATATAAAATATATTGCATTTCTGCTGTTGTTTACTTTACTATAATCTTGCTTTTCTGCATTAGTATTTTTTCCCTTGTGAAAAAAAGCTCCTTTAGACCTGAAAAAGAAACAAGAAAAGATCTCACAGGTATAGACAGAAGAGATGCCATATGGTCCTGCCGGATCAGATCAATGCTTCAGAGCATAAAACCTAATCTGTGATGTTCATCTAGTTTTTATCTCAATGGTCCACTACGAGTGTGGTAAAAACAGAGGTTAGTTGTAGCTCAGTTAAAATGCTTCTAAAAGTTGTAAAGTCTATTGTCAGCTCTTTTTCCAACTCGACTCAAAAACAAGATAAAATTGTCAGTTAAAGGTCATCTTGAGAACACACACAGAACAATGTAGGTTATCAGTGGGCACACACACACACACACACACACATACGGTACCACGTGTCTCTGTTATGGTGGTATTCAGGGTGTTTGTCCATAAACAGTGAAACTAAAGGTCTAAGAACAGGTTAGCTTACAAAGCAGTGAATGAGACCCAGTCACTCAGCAACAGAGCTTCACTTAGACCTGGAAACAGCCTATGGAAGTCATTCCTAATCTTCCTTGCAGAATCACATTTGGAAACTCAAGAAAATAGAGCCTTGGCGGTCAGTGATGGTTTCCTCACATGACAGTGGGTATTGCTTATTTATTATATTAAGTTTAGGAGACAGGACTTTTTTCCCAACCAGAGCTAAGAAATGACGAACAAGACAAGAGACTCCCACTCTGAATGCACCACACTCATTTGATCCTGTGTCATGCAAACACCAAATGTAGCCAGTCATACTGTATGCTGATCACTATAAGACTTCAATAGTTGTGGGGAATATGAAGAAATCAAACACCAGAATATGACAGAAACCTATCATGGAGTGAACCGAGGTGTAGCTGAGCAGCTGAGTCAACACGTTGCTCCACACTGCCTCTGCTGTATCAACTAAAAGATGGGGCAGAATTCCCCCCTGCTGATTGCCCTGGGTGTGTGTGTGCGTGTGTGTGTGTGTGTGTTGCTGGCTGTCCATACAGCTCTATCAGGTGTCACAACATGCAGTCAGGGGAATAAAGACCACAATCAAAATACCAGTGGTCATATTAGTGCTCACCGAGCTAAATTCTAACGTTAAGCGTTTTATCCAATATGAGCAACTGTGCAGAGTACTAGTGTTTGAGTAGTAAAATAGCATAATTTCAGTGAATTTGCTAACACAATGGGGGAGGTGTGGAAGACTGAAGAACTTGTGGTAGACCATGAAACACAAACGTATGTGTTTCAGATCATTTTGAGAACTCCAGGCACTGCTGTTAAAAATATCAATGCAAATTAAGAAAAAATCCAATTTGAAAACCCATGCACCGAATTTAAAAGAAATGCTGCAAATTGAGAAAACACAACCAATACAGAAACACTGAAAGTAGCAGTAACAGAAAGTGTTTCCAGGGGACACTAACAGATGAACACGCCTTTGAAATTAGTCTGCTAATTACATGTTAAGGTACCTACATATTTGACATCAGCTCCTATTGTTTCTGTTACTTTGTGTCAAACAACCAATAAAACAACATACCGACAGAAGGATAAAGAACAGTAACACCGAACACTGTGGAGGTTTTGTTCCTGACACAAGCAGACATGTAAGGAGTTCACCACCAGGGGGAAGCAAGAGACACTCCAAGGTTATTGGGTGGTTACAAGTGCATCATCGTTCAGATGAATGCTTTTAGGTGCTCTTTCACAGGGTGTTGCAAATTAACCAAACCATTTAGTTTGTAACCCTGTACAATAGCAGCAAACATCATCATGCAGCAGGAATGTTGGTGATTATGCAGTGGATACCCAGGTTGTACAGATAATGAGATACAGAAATAAACTTGCAAGTTCTGAATTAAAGCAGAATTTAACAGTTTGAAATGCCAACTGGCAGACAACAAAGAAACGAACAAACAACCTTGCAAAGCTGTTGTCTGATTCTAGAGTGAGCCAAAGCACATATTATATAGACACTCATACACACATAAAATGAATCTGCACTGGTGATATATATATGTCTATATAGTTTTGGTTTTGACATCCTGTAACTTTGATTTTGTCATGGGCCACACACTGACAGCAAGCTCGTAATTGCAATTCTATCTAGAAAATGAGAACAGACAATCAATAAACGAGAATATTACAGCAATGTAATCATCAAAGTATCTAAAGAAATTAAAAGACAAGAATAGAGTGCACAAAAACAAACATCAACAGCAGCAAAAAAAACAAAGACATCCCTAAGTTTACATTTGGTAACTGTAGAACTAAGAGCTAATGTGCTTATGCAAAGACAATGACTGTGTAACCACGTCAAAAGCACAATTTACGTACTTTACTAAGAATGCAAATACATAGAAAAACATTTTCACATCAAAATCACTTCACTGACTAAATTCCAAATAAAGGGATAGCAATTAGAGTTTTAATTGAATCATTTGACAAAAAGGTGCAACATGTTGTGATAGACACATAAATTGTCGTTTTATTGTTTAGTCTTTAAAATCAGTTCTTTTAAAGTGAATATGTACAGCAGCTGACTCAGGACTTTCACAACATCCCTGTGACCACTAACCAACAATTTAAAGCCCCATTATGTAACTTTTCTACCTTCATATAAGAGCTTCAAAATCAATCAAAATAGTTCTTAAAGTAAATTAACCGCTGAGCTAGTTAGCTCAGTCCATGCTGGCTGGACTGGGACCTCAAGCCGCTGCAGCAAGGACTCCAGCTTGGTAGCAAATCTTACATAATGTTGCTTTAAACGGACTGTTCTTTAAATCCTTGCACTTAAAGCTACATACAATGACTACATGCCTCTTCTAACGAACCACACGACCACACACACACCACACACCACACACACACAACCAACACACACACACACACACACACATTCACAGACTAAACTGGTTTGGCCACATTAGTGAGCACAGCAGTATATTTTACACATGATTTATAAAGTATATAAGGCAGTGCACATGTGACCCTGCATAAGTGGGGGAAGAGCTCTGGCTTAATCATTTCTTGGTGAATTGTTTGAAGAGCTTGTTGACTGTGAGTAATGTGTGCAGGGTCCAGTTATTGAAGGCAGAACAAGGAACTTAAGATATCAGGGGTCAGTCTGGATCCGGCCTCAAACATTTCAGTCATCATCTCCAGACTTGGATTGGATCCAACTTTCACTTCACTCAGATCGGTCAAAGGATTTAAAAATAGAACCAGTTAATTTCTACTTCTATTTTCTAGAATAGAGAGTACAACTTTGCATGTGTTTTATGAAGCAACATCAAGTAACCAAACAGTCTTCGTCGTCTTTCTGCCTCCTTTTAATCCTTTGTTACTATTGTGACCACATCTTCTTCTGTTTCTTTTCCCCCTGAAAGCACAAACACAGCACACATTACTTATCAATTTTCAATTTGTAGTCATTATATTACATATCTAACCAGTGACTTGAAGCATGGTACTTACTGAAGCACTTCTGGAGGGTCTCAGATCTCTGCAGCATTGTGTACGATAGACCAGCCACCAAGACAACGCCAAAGAAACCCCCGATGGTACAGCCAATGAGAGTGGCATGGCTGATGCCGCTATCTAGGAGAAAAGAGTGAGGGAGGAGAAAAAAAGAAAATAGAAATAACAGTTAAGAGATGAGCGATTAAAATGGGGAATGAACACAAACTTTTATGCCTTGTGAATCATATTTCCAGATTTAACAAATAGAAGGGAGAACTAATAAACCAAAAATTTATTTTTCTATTTTAAATGTAAAAGATACAGTATATCTGCTATTAATAAAGTAATAACAAAGCACTGAGAAAACACACAAACAAAATTAACATTACTTAGAATTATTTTACAGGACGTTTTCAGACGAGAGAGCAGGACTGAGCCCCAATCAGTGTTTTTACATGTAGTACAAGTAAGTAAATTAAAGGAAAAACTATGATTTAAACGTGTATTTATGATGTGATCAACATGGTGAGAAAAATATAGATATGTACAAAACAAAAGGTTGTGTGTATGTTCTATTTCCTCCAGATATGATATTGGCAGTCGCTTGCCTTTTGTGGATCTAGAGTTTGTTACCAAATCTAATAAAGGGAATAGGCAGTGTTGCTGTGTCTGGAATGAGACTTCACCATAGACACGTAGGATTGCAGCATGGGTTTCCATGTTGTTTGACTGCTGACACACGACTCTTGTGCCATTGTCAGAGAACGAAGTGCCCTTGAGGGTCCACACAGCCAATGACTCTCCTTTCTTCATTTCACAACTTCCATAGAGAGCCTGAGGAAAGAGACAGGGAAGGGAATGAAGAATGGTTCAGAAGAGAGGACAGGTAAGAAAGAATAATGAATTAAAAAAGAATATATGCACATGATGTGAGATATGCTCCAGCCCCCCTTGACCCAGCCTGAACAGGATATGTGGGTAGATAATGGATGGATGGATGGTCAATCTGCTACTGATGGTATTGGCTTTCAGTCAACAACAAGTTTGCAATGTTCACACATTTATGTCTTAATACTTTAACTTTAACTTTACTATTGAAATAAACTAGAATAAAACTCGTGACTCTTAAGGAAGATCCATTCAATGTGTTTTTGTTACAGTTGCACTCGTCCACAGTGGCAATGTTTTTCTTTAAAAGCTAAAATATCCCCTCAAGACATGTATTAAGACATATATTTAAATAGTCTGCTCGAAACAATAGTGTGTGGCTGAAATGTTATTTCCTCAAAAAAGTGCACAGTTTCCACATTAAAATCCTTAAAAGGTATCTCCTCCTTCTACCTCATTAAAAAAATCCAGAGTCTATGAATATGTAAATACAGCTCATTTTTTAAGTTTAACACAATATGTCTCCTACTTCACTGTAAGATCCATTCTCAGTGTCTGTGCACTGTAGAAGTTGCATACTGGACCAGGGTTGACTTCCAATCAAGTTGAGATGTCACAAATCTGTCTTTACACACATTCCTGCCAATGGTTTCACACTATACCACTGATGGTACTACTACAGATGGTAGTAATGCAGTAACTTTGGTAAAAAAATATTACACAGTGTTAACAATTTGTAAAATCTAACAGTGAGTTAGAAAAAAACACAACTATCAGTTCAAGTAAAACAATTAATGCAACCTCTAATGATCAGAGTTTACACTGGGTTTGTGTGTCTGTGACGACAAGATAAAGTTAATGAGGGGAAGAGTAGAAAAAAGTGAGTATAAAGTGAGGCAGTAGAGTAAATACGGAGTTAGACGGCCACTGACTCACCTGGGGAATGTCTTCCGCATAGCCGTAAGGGCAGGTGAGGCTGTAGTTCTTTTGAGTCCTGTAGAAGGTGAATGTGAGGTTTGGAGAAGCTATGGGCACTCCACAGAGAAACACCGCAGGTTCTCCCACAGCCACTCTGACGTCAACTGGGCGTGTGAGGTAACGGAGAGCTGCAGCTGAAGTGGTGGTGTTGGTGTCTTGAGCTGCAACAGTGCAGAAGTGTTGACAGTGTTGTGAGTTTGTGTGAGAGGGAGATGAAGAGGAAAGAGCAAAATGGAAATAATGGAATACCATCACTAATAATTATAACAATGTATGCATTTACACATAATTAACAACATATTTAACCCCCAGTGATATATATGTATAGATATAGCACTAAAACTCTTTCCATTTGTTATAACTGAATTCAATTCCAGCTATGAAAAAACATCTGACTTTTAACCTGTTACAGACAAGTAAAAGAAAAAAAAAATCAGGTGATTTCCCAGAATTCATTTCTGCATGCCCTCTGAACACAAGGTATAAATATTATAGCAAATTATGTAACATTACTGTCGTGTCTTTCTTTTAGCTATATGCGTCTAATCTGTGCTGTGAGAAATTAAACCTCACCTGGAAGAAAACATGAATGTTTTTAGTCCTTCTTAGAGCAAATAAAAAATAAAAACCTTTCACCTTTCTCTTGTCACACAGAGAGAACAACAATTTAGATCAGACTTAGAACATGGATCGCCAGGGCTTTCATATTTATATATATATATAATATATATCAGGAAGCACTGAAATTCAGTTGTTGAGTTGTTGTTATGTACAAAAACACATTTGCACCCATCTTTGGGATGCTAATCAGGAACTGAATGCTACTGCAACTGATATGAGCTTAAGCAAAGTCCCTTCACGGTCTTCATAAACATTTGAATATTCTAATGACTGTAAACTTGTGTTTCCCTGTAAGATTTTCTTGGTCTTCCCCCAGTCACTAAAGTTCTACTGAATGTAGAAGTAAATGCAAAACATCCTCCCAGTCTACACATAGTTCATTTCCTGCTATGACTTCTTTATTCATTGAAATATGACTGTGTTGAATGCATTTAGTTTAATGTGGGTAAGTACTGGAAACTTTAAGCATTAAATCTGATATTTTGATGTCATGGCTGTGGTAAGTTACCTGAGGAAGGTGTGGCGATTTGGAGCAGAGCCAGCAGCAGCCAGCAGATATAAGGAACCTTCCTCTTCCTCCTCATCTCTCCTTTCCTTCTATTCTCCATTCTTTTCTTCAAACAGTCTCTCCTATTATAAATCTGCAAAAGTTTGAACATTGTAACTTTACTTTTCATACAACGTTAAAGGAAAAGAATACATGCAACAACAGTACAAGTGTCTTTTGCATTTACGCTCAATGATTTTAGTTGTATCACTGCTTCATATGAAAAATCTGCCATTGTTTTAGGAGATAATCAAACTCTGATTCAGTGTCTTCAGTATATTATCACTATGCAAAAAGCAGCATATGAGCCATAAAATTATACGATTAATCCTGAAACTCTTTCTCCCCTTTTTAGACCTCTACTGATTCCTGGGTCTTATGAATTGGGAATGAATAAGGTTGACTTTTATAGACCATTTTCATGTTTCAAACTGGTTGGATTTAACAACAATAGCAAAATATAAAATAAAATAACAAGCACAACCATATTGGGTTTTCAGCCTTCTAACATTTTTTTGGCACATTTTCTGTACAATAATCATTACTGATGTCACACCACCTGCATTTAGACAGTTTCTGAGAAACATACAAGCAATCACTATTTTTTGACTTTACACTAGATTTTCTTTACTGAGCTTCCACATCCCTGGTTAATGCAGTTATTAAAATCAGTTTTGTAATCCTATCACCCATAATCCTGAATCTTTTGCCCCCAAAACCAAAACTAAATTATTAACACTAACCGCAAAATGAACTGGAAATTCCCCAGCAGCTCTGCAGGCAGCTTCCTTATTTGAAGGTTGTGACGGTGCTCCTTTAAAAATAAATCCTATGTATTGTTGAAATGAACACCTCAGATGCCTTGACGCCTTCTCCTCACTTTCTAGTCTGACATATATCTCCAGCCAGTGTCTACATGAACAGTGAAGAGGCTGTCACTGTCTCCACATAATGCTGACTCTCCTCATCTCACTCCATCCTCCCACTAGGTGGGAAGTTCAAAACAACAAGGCACCTGGAGGAACGTGGAGAGCTTCCTGATTTACAAGATGGATGTCTGTAAAAGAGAAACAGGTTGAACAGGCCGGGCAAGGAGGCTTTTCATGCTGCTCCATTTACTTTTGCTCTCTCTCTGTCACACACACACCTATCTGTTATCCCTCCCTCCCTCATCCCCCTCAAGTCTCCCTTACTTTCCCTACTGTCTCTCAGTCTTAATAAGCTTTAAATACTTGGCGACCAAAATTTTACTTTCAAATAAGTTCCTTCCTTCTGAAGCACAAGCAGCTTGGTATCACTTTTCACCAAATTGCTCTTGCACTTGTTCTTGTTTGAATGCCCTGTACCAATCAATTATAGCGTGTTGTTTATTTTTAGACACTGAGACAATGCATACCATAAAATTGAAAGAGTAAGATTACATTCAGGCTCTGCTGCTTGCGTGATAAAAGTCTACAGACACGCTAGCAGCTCTGTGAAGCTACACAGTTCATTTATTTCACATGAAGTAAATTCATAAGTAGTTGTGAGGTTTCCTGTAATGACTTATGTGACCAAAAAACCCAAAAGTATTATTGTTCAAATATTGCACATATAAAATAAGTGTAGAACTATAATTGAAAAATGCAGAGAGGAAGGAGTAATTGATGTAAAAGAAGAGTGACCTCTACAGTGCTTTGAGCTAAATGCTAACATGGGTGTGTGTAATGCTAAATTTTGTCGGTTTGCTTCATTTTGCTTAACCTAATTCCAACTCCTTATATTTTGTACCCTATCCTGAACATAATTACTGATTGAAATTAGACATGTTAAAATACATAATTTGTATTTATTTTTACTTGAGGATGTGATTTATGAGTGAAAATTGAATAAAAAATGCTTTTTAAAAAAATATTTTTGTTTACAAAGCCTATTATTACTATTCGTTTTTTTTATTTGAAGTTAACAGGATCATGGGAGAGGAGGGGATGTGAATTGCAGCAATATGAGCAGGGATTCGAACCCGTGTCAGCTGCGTACAGTATACGCAATTAAATTTTTTTTTCGTGCCATGGCCACCCCACACTAACTTGAAAAAAAATAAATGTTAGAAGGAAAGCAAAAAAACAACATGTAAATGAACAGATGTGAGACGAGGAAGTGTTAACCACAAGTTCCCCATGAACATGTGTTTTTTAACTTTTTTTTTTTTCTTTAAGTCATTATCTCATCTTTATTAACTGTTGCTTTTGGTATGTGGAAGGAAGACGAGCTGACTCCTCTCATCATGTGACGTGTCAGCAGCCTAGAGAGCGTCACATGTGTCAGAGCTTTCCTGCACTTGTCCGAAACTCTCTTAGACTACATTTCCAGAAGTGCCTATCTCTAATTTAACTCTACGTTTTCTCTCGTCCTCTGCCCCTCGACCCATACTGCATGCAGTGACGCCCACCTCATCACTTCAGATCACCTCAGATCCTTCTTGATACTTTGTGTTTTGCATTGTGGGGAAGATGATCGCAGTGCTGCTGCTTCTGATCCTGCAGCCAGGTAAGGAGAAATTAGTTTTCACTTTACGTTTGAAGACAAATGTTATGTTTTAAATGTATATTGCGCTGTTATAAATACTGTTTGTACATCACCAATCAGGCAGAGGAAAGACACATTCAGTTGCTAAATAAGATAGAAAGGAAATAATTTGATTTTCACAAGGGATTAACTACAACCCGACAAACCCCTTTCAGTTTCAGGTTAATGCACTCTAAAATGTTACTCCTCTGTCTGCAGCCGAAACACGCAGACAGAAAAAAAAAATCAGTAATGTAGTGGTTGACTAGTTCCTCATATCCAATTAACAAGTGATTATCAGTCAGTGTGGGGTTAAAAGCTTGTTTCCACTGCAAACAGTACCAAACCACCCCGCAAACCTATGGTCTTCATAGTCACATCCTAAGTTGAAAAATATACTGATTGCATATTTACTGTTGCAGAGCAGCATTTTTCCATTTAATTCTGCATATATAGCCTAAACAACATCAATAAGACTAATAATGACACCATGATCTCTCTGCAGGACCTGTGAGTGCTACTTGGTCAGTGACTTTTGAAAACTCAGATCCTTGTGGTTTAAAGGGATCATCAGTGGAGTTCAGGTGCTCATACAACTACACAGATGGTGAAACTGTTACTAACACTGCATGGCACAAAGGGGGATTAAAAGATAAACAGTGGAAACGTTTTAAGCTCTCAGAACTTCCTTCATATCAAAATCGTTCTGAATATATTGGAGACCAACAACATGACTGTAGCCTGGCAATTCATGACCTGCAGGATAATGACACTGGATATTACTACTTCAGGTTTGATACGGGGAAGTACGGACGGCATAGTAAAGAATCAGTGTATCTGTCTGTCACAGGTAAAATTATTCTACATTGAGTGTCACTCTATAAGTTTAATATTTGTAACTTTTCTTAATATCATGGTCTCAGTTTCTTTAACTGATTGATGTCTAGAGCTGATCAGTGCCAGGGTGAACCCTGACAGAGTGAGAGCTGGAGACACCGTGACTCTTGAATGTACAACATCCTGCCAACTTCCCAGCATAGTTTGGTTTAAAGATGGACGTCCATTAGCAAAACCAGAGTTCCAGGCTCAGACAGAGGATGCAGGGAACTATGCATGTGCTCTCAAAGGACAGGAGTCAGTGCTATCGGACCCTGTGGCTCTGGATGTTCAGTGTAAGTATGTTTTTTTTTTTTTACATTGTTGGTTGAGAAACTGGTATTTCACTTTGTGATGCATGTAAGGAATAATTGTGAAAGCTAAAGATTGTGAACTCGCAAACATATTGCGTAAATCTTCCCAATTTACAGTGTTATAAATGAATTTATATAGCAATATTTTTGAACTAGCAGGTGCCTATTCTGTTATTACAGGGTACAGTATGACTCACTGAGCATCAAAGCTAGAGAGATGGAATAATGAGGACACAAACACAGTCACTGAACATTTATTTCATTTGAATTTTTATTAATTTTTGTAAGAAGTAACCAGCACCTCTGAAGCTTAATGAACACTTTGATTCTTGTTTGTTTAATCGGCACTGAAGTTATCTTTGGTCACAGCCAGGCTAGCTGTTCCCCCCTGTTTCCAGGCATTGTAGCTAACTGACTGCTGGTGGTAGTTTTGTGTTTACTGTACAGACATGAGAGTGATATCAGTGTTCACATCTAACTCTGAGCAAGAAAGCGAATAAGGACATTTACTAAAATTATACTGTTTTGAAATATTCTTTGTCAATGTGGCTATTTCTTTGGCTATAAGTGGTGATGATCCTCCATGAATATACATAGTTTTCATTTACAAACAAAAATACAGTTTAAACCAATGTATACAACAGTGCAGTATTTTTATTTATTTAATTCAGATCCCCCATTTAATGTGTCTGTTGAGGTGAGTTATGGCAACCTGACAGTGGGCAGCAGTGTAAACCTGACCTGCAACAGTGCTGCTAACCCTGCAGCAGACAACTACACCTGGTATAAGAGGACAGCTTCTGAAATGCTTGTTATATTTAGACATAGAAAAATCTTTTTTCATTTAGTTTTTAGGCTTCCTGCATCAAAGAATTACTCTTGTGGGGCAATAAAACAACTGAAAAAAGTGACAATTAAGGCACAATTTAATAAAATACATGTTCACTGACTGACTGTGAA